CCACACACAAAGAAGGTTCCAATCAGATTATAGATTGTTAACATGATTACATTAGTCATCTTATTCGATCAATGCTAATACTTGTAAATCTTATCAAGCATTCATGATTATAACTTATGTTAACAATAAATCAAGTTCCTTTCATAGCTCAGGTGTCGATTATACCATACATTATAAGCTATGAGAGTGCCAAGTATTTGTTGTACCAAGTGTTATACAACATAAATCAAGATTAGTCATTTAACAAGCAAAGTATTAAAGAGTGAACAAGATAACAAATACAAAACATGTTAGTATCAAACATTAAAGTCCATATTGAGTTTACACTATACTTATTCTGACACCATTAGTGTAACCTTTTCACCTTGACATGATAAACGTAGCTAGACATAATGAAATAAAGAAAAATAAAAAAAAATAAGAACATAAATAAGATAAAAGTTAACTAAGTAAATGAAAGGAAATGAAAGGCATAAACTTGATATTAATGAAAGCAAAGCATAAACATTACAAAGAGAGAAAGCAAAAGCATGATCTTGATCTGGAAACCAAGATGCCTAAATGCATGGCAAATGCCTCCTTTTATAGGCCAAAATTGAGAACTATTAATTTGATGACTTATTGATGAGTGGGTGGCCAATTCTTGACTTGGTGGCAATCCTTATCTTCTCTTGTCTGCCCAAAACGTCATTGATAACGTCAAAATTGGAGCCACTCGAACATGAAAGTTGTAGAAAATTGTCTCAGGTTTCTTGTGTAAAAACTTCAGCTCATTTAGACTTCTAGAACTCCAGATATGGGCCAAACACTGAACAGTGCTCAGGCTGGAAAACAGATTCGGACTTCTTTGTTGTTGCTCCAATTTGGACTTGAAAATCGATTTTTAGATCTTGGGCTCCATATGAAAGTTGTAGGCCTATGTCTTACCTTTCCATCCATATAAATTGGACCTAAATCTGAGAACTACAGCTCCAGATATGATCCAATTACCGAACAGTGTTCCAGTTTGGACTACACCAGCATCTTTTTTCTAAGTTTGGCCATCTCTTTGTCCTTTCAATTTCAATTCTTAAATTCATCAATCAATCCTTTCATTTATGTGATAGGCCTGCATTAAAAATAAACATTTACCACAAATTAAAAGGATCTTATATTATTAGATATATTATTATAAAACATGTTTTAGTTAAGGAGTTATTGGTACTTCAAGTGCAAAATGATGATATAAAACCTTGATAAAAATGCACTTTTAAGTACTAATTAGTAACCTTTTCACCTTGACATAATAAACTTAACTAAACATAATGAAGAAGAGAAATATAAATAAATAAGAAGAGAACATAATTATATAAGTATAATAAAGGAAATGAAAGGTATAAATAAGAGATTAATGAAAGCAAAACTTAACCATTACAAAAATTTAAAGAAAGAGAGCAAGAATATGATCTTGATCTGAAACCATGTCTAAATGTATGACAAATGCCTCTTTTATAGGTCAAAATTTCAAACTATTGATTTGTTGACTAATTGTTGAGTGGGTGGCCACATCTTGACTTAGTGACAATCCTTATCTTCTTATCTAAACAAAATATCATTGCTAACATCAAAATTTGAAAAGATTATCTTCATGAAAGTTTTATGAAATTATCTTAGCTTTTCAACAAAAAACCGGTGCATTTAGGCTTCTAGAACTCAAGATATAGGTTGAACACTGAATAGTGTCTATGCTACAGTATAGATTCAGACTTCTTCGTTGTTGCTACAATTTGAACTTAAAAACGGTCGTTTTAAATTTTGGACTCTTCATGAAAGTTTTAAGCCTATGTCTTAGCTTTCCATCCATATAGAGCATACCTAAATCCAAGTTCTACAACTCTAGTTATGATGCAATAACCGAATGGTGTTCCAATTTGGATTAAACCAACATCTCTTTTTTAAGCTTAGCTCTCTCTTTGTCTTCTCAATTTCAGTAGTTAAACTCATCAATCAATCCCTTGATTTATGTGATAGGCTTGTATTTAAAATAAATATTTACTATAAATTAAATATATCTTATATTATTAGATATGTTATTATAAAACACGCTCTAGCTAAGGAGTTATTGATACTTCAAGTACAAAATGACGATATAAAACCTTAATAAAAATATAATTTTAAGTACTAATCAACCCCTGCTCAACATTTATGATTGGTGAAATGATTAGGGTACGACTATGACATAGAGTATAAATAAGAAAGGGAGAACTTGTCAATTGATGCCCTCTCCAGGATTCCAAGCAGCGAAGTTTGTGCCTTAACCACTTTTCTCATTTCTTCAAACTTAATGATTGAAATTAGGAAGTCATACAAAGATGATAATACCATTTTAGAGATTATCAAGTGTTTGCATATATCCTAGTGCACATCCTAGCTATACTTGGGTGAATGATCATCTCAACAAGAAAGGAAAGGTAGTGGTAGGCAGGGATTTAGAACTATGACACAAGATCATTTCTATGTTTCATAACTTAACCGTGGAGGGACACTCAAGCATGACAATAACATCTAAGACTATTAGGGGTCTATTCTACTAAAAAAGACAATAAAAACACATCAAGCAATACATTAAGAAATGCATTACCTGTTAGAGGAACAAGCATGAAAATGTGGCTAGCCCTAGACTCCTACAGCCACTACCTATTCCTATCACCCTGTTCATCGACATCAATATGGATTTTGTAGAAGGCCTTTCAAATTCTAAAGGAAATGATGTTATCATGGTTATAGTGAATCGCTTCAACAAATACATGCATTGCATAACCCTAAGTCACCCTTACTCTACTTCAGGGGTGGCCAAACTATTCATGAACAATATATATAAACTACATAGGCTATCAGTTTCTATAACTAGTGACAGAGATCCAGTATTCTTGAGTTGATTTTGGAAAAAGTTAATTCACAGTCAAGGGGTCAATCTACACTACTCTTCAATATATCATCCTCAAACTAATAGCCAGATAAAAATCATTAATAAAACCACTGAACACTAATTGAGATGTATGACAAGTGACTACTAATTAGGGGGAGAAGTGACTACCTTTAGCTAAATATTGGTACAATACTAATTACCACTTAACTATGAAGATGAATCCTTATGAAGTTTTAGACGGGTTCTTCCACCCTTACACATTCCTTACCTCCCTAAGAACTCAAGTGTGGAATCAGTGGATGTGTAGTTGTCAACTAAGGAAGAAGTTATTAAAAGGGTCAAGACTCGTCTCCACATGGCTTAGAATAGGGTAACCACGATGGCAAACAAAAAAGAAAGTGATAAAAGTTCTGAAGTTAATGATTACGTCTACCTCATGCTTCAACCATGTAGGCAGCAGTCAACAGCACATACATCCTCACAAAAACTAGCTATAAAGTATTACGGGTCTTACCAGGTAATTGTAAAAATAGGAGGCGTGGCCTGTAAGCTTGATCTGCCTCTTACAACTCTGATTCACCTCGTGTTCCGCTTATCCTAGCTTAAAAAGCATACAAGTAATCATACAGTGCAGGGCATTCTTCCTACGATGTCACTAACCTTTGTCCTTCAACCTCGAACCATATTAGAAAGGAGAATTACAAAACAACAGAATTAGGCCATCACTCAAGTCCTAGTACATTGGGAGAGTCTCTCTCATGTTGATGCAACTTGGGAATACATTGAGGAATTGAAGTGGAGATTTCCACAATTTAACCTTGGGGACAAGGTTGGATTCAAGGAGGGGCAATTGTTACTAGCTGAAGAAGAAGGAGAAGAATGAATTTATATTAGGAATTCAAATGAATTAGTCATTGCAAATCCTTACGCACCATTTCAATTATAGTCAAAACGCATTGTTTTAGTTTTGTAGCAAGTACCACTTCAATGTATGTTCAGTTTTAATTTTCCTTCTCAAGGTTCCTAGAGCTATGTAGAAGGAAAAATGCTATAGATTTATGTGTATTGTAACAAATATATAAGAAAAGAAATGATAAACTGATGATCTCTTACATTCTTGGGAATCTAACGAACAGGATTCTCTTCTTACCTTAGGATCAATGGCTAAACAATAACCACCTTACATGCTCATTCTCTCCATCTACCCTCCCTAGTAATCATTGGATTCATTGTAGATCGGCACCATTCATTTCTCATCTGTACCAACCTTATATTATGCTTGGTATGGGTATAGAAACCTTAGATTTTATTTTTCTTAAATTTAAAAATGTTTGGTGACATAAAAAGGGAAAGGGATTTTTTAAGGGAGGTTAGATTTTATAAAAAAAAAATAATAAAGGATCATGGATTTAAATAATATAGGTCAATTATTACATGAGTAATTTTTATTTAAAAGTTGATTTTTAAATGTTAATGAGAAGAGAGAGAATAATTATTAATCATGAATGGTAAGAGAAAATAAATAAAGAATTGGATATAAAAAGAAAAAGATATTAATTGAAGGATAAATTTAATCCTCCAAAAACACAAATTTTGGGGCTACTTCTACCCCGTAAGAAATAAATTCCAGCTCCTATAATCCTTCTATCAAATGTATCTTTATTTTTATTCTCTCTCTTTCTTTTTATTTCAAAATAATCTTTTATTTCTTTTTAGCCAATATCACTATTAATGTTTTAACTATTTATATCTCTTTTACTAATAATTTGTCCTTCAAATTGATAATTCTTCTCATTAATACGTTGATTTCATTTTTTAACCTAAGGATACTGTTGGCGGCGTGGGTTGAGCTTGTCTAGAAGGAAACAGGTTGTGTAACAAAGAGATTGTAGGAGCTGCGATCTTCTAGTATCATTTATTTGAAAGGGAATATTCCTTCACGTATTGTAATGAGTTTTTCAAGCTCCACCACATTTTTGTACGACAACTACAAATTAGTGGGCCGGTAATAGTTGACATGTTGGGCCGTGGCTGAGCCCATATTTTGGCATTTGAAGACTATCAAGTGGAAAATAGCAGCTTAGATGATTCTGACCACAAACACACCACCTCCTGGTGGCAAATTTGTTACTTCTATCTGATGCTGATCAGCAGCATCCTCCGCCAATCAAAATCCTTCGCGTGTCACAGCTACAAACTAAGGCTGGGAAAGTGTGATTCTACCCAATCTGTTCTGCTTTCAGTGCCGCCGGTTTGTGCTGAATTGCTACACCAGATGAGAATTCGCTGTCTCTGACTATAGAGGAGAGAGATGTTGAACCCTTTCCTCTCTTTAACTCAGAAAACCCAGCTATCACTTTTGTTTAAGGTGCAAGCAAATCTTCATAATCTAATCAGTCACATTCTCAGTATGAACATGGGCAATGGTTGTTTGTGCTAATTATTGTATTTTCTTTCTGTCTAGACCGACCCCGTTTCAGATTCCTGTGGATTATCTTCAAAGCAGACTGCTTTTCTCAGAGGACAGTTACAATTTCATAGCAGACACTTTCTTCACTTCAAGTTGAACCGTGGTCGGATTAGATGTACAGGTAAACAATATACTCTTCTCTTCTCATCTCTCATATATTTTACTCTTGATCATGTTATAGTTGTTCTCTTCGGTTTCTTGGCATCTCAAGTGACTTTTCTTAGTGTACTGTTTAAATGTGTAGGAAGAAAAGTGTTCAATGCATGGCAACAAAACATTCATACATGGCTTATCTCTGCATATTACGATGTGGGCAATTAGAGAGAACATAGTGTTTTAATGAAATATTCCTTGCTCTGCTAAGAGATAAGCGACGAGTAGTCTTGAGATTTCAATTTGATATGGAGGTGTCCTTAACAAAAGCTCTTCTATGCATAAGCACGAGATGCGTTTCGTTCTTGCCTCTCTTTCCTCTTTTATTGGAATTAAACCAAACTGTAGTTGAATGATTAACCTCGTTGAATGCAACAGTTAATTGAGACAGTGGTTGTTGTGTGGTTATTTAATTTACAGGAGTTGTGGTTTCACCGAGTTGCGTGCTCCCATTGACTGAAGAGAATGTGGAGAAGGTTCTAGATGAGGTACGGCCTGGCTTAATGCGTGATGGAGGCAATGTGGCTTTGCATGAGATAGATGGTCTTGTCGTGGTTTTAAAGCTGCAAGGAGCATGTGGATCATGTCCAAGCTCAAGTATGACGTTAAAGATGGGAATTGAGACTAAGCTGCGCGATAAAATACCCGAAATCATGGCTGTAGAGCAGATCATGGACACTGAAACTGGATTGGAGCTAAATGAGGAAAATGTCGAAAAGGTTAGGCTAGAAGTATGCCTATAGCTATTTGGGAACCGAGGGAAAATGAACTACTAGAATTATGAAGGTTGCTGCATTATAACAGTAGATGTAGAAGATAGTTTTTACATGAATCATCCCAAAACCCTGCCTTTTATGTCTGTCAGTAGATAACTCTCACATCAAAGTTTCCAGTGATCTGTCTACAGCTCTGTATGGTGTCAAATGCTGGGTTCTAGTTTCTATAAGATGTTCCATATCATTGACAATCTAGAACTGACCTTAACATCTCTTGTATTTTCCATGTGATCAGATACTGCAAGGGATAGGGTGTAGATTGAATTTTTCGCATACTCTTTCCAGGAAGGATTACATCATTCCTTATGAGGAACTTTGCCAGTTCTATTTTTTTTTGTTTATTTATCTGCATCGCGCGTTTGAATGTTGATTCACAGGGATGTTCATCTTATGATTTCCCCGTAACTACAAAGAGCTATTTATTTTATTTGTGAAGAAAGGAACAGGGCATTCATCAGAAAGCACTCAAGTTTAATCCTCCTTTTCAGGCCCTTGCTGAGATTAGACCATACCTTGCTGGGACAGGAGGTGGAGTGCTTGAACTTGTTCAAATCAATGATTATGTTGTCAAGGTTCGGCTTAGTGGTCCTGCAGCTGGTGTTATGACTGTTCGTGTTGCCTTAACTCAGAAGTTGAGAGAAACGATACCTGCCATTGCAGCTGTCCAACTGATAGATTGATAAAGAAATCTTCGCAAACATCATCTACAGCAAAGGAAAAATAGAATGTAAAGAGCATGGAGTTTATCTTCTTCACAGCAAGGAATAATCAGATGTTAATCATAAAATCACACCGGGTTTAACTTTTGGATGCTGTGCTCGTTCATTCTAATATGAATTGTTTCAACTGCTTCAGTTAATGATGATTTTTTATTTTTTTTTTGTAATATAGATAATAGATAGGATTAATTTCTTTAGATCAAATAATTAATTAAAAAAAAATCAAAGCAACTTAAGAATCGTAGTTTTCCAAAAATCTCCTGGGCTGATGACAAAAAAACACCCACCGAAAAACCCGTCTTCTCTTTTTCACTCTCATTTCTCAAGCCTCCATCTTGTAAAGTCAACATGAGATTGATCTCCGTCTCTTCTCTAACAATCACGAAAACCTTCTTTCTTTCGACCAGAAGAAGGATGCTTGGGAACGGTGAATAAGACGTCATAGAAAAAGCCTTCACTTCTATTATTTTGGCAGACCTGGGATTTGGCTCTCTCAACTCTCAAGCACAAGTCTTTAGATTTATTCACAAGTCCGAAAGAGCATGCCTGCACTTGGACATCATTCAGCAAAGTTACAGCTCTCAAATGCCAAAAACAAGATAGTTGAAGAGAATTATACACCTTGAAAAAGAAGCAACGCAGAAAACCTCAAATCCAACAAAATACAGTCATAGTCTTCATCAAGTTTTAGAAAAAAGAAAACATCAGCGGGTTGCAGACCGAAACTGATCAAAATCATCAAACTCAACACGGCCAGTATTTACCCTCAAGCTTTTATTGTTCTAGTTCCAAGCTAAATACGGGCACCACCACAGATTGAAAAAAAAACAAAAAAAAAGGCTTAGACTATGACGAGACAGCAACTCTCCAGAACTATGACAAGTTGGGAATTCTTAATACTTATAGTCCTTGACGTGGAGGCTCTCTGAAGCACCCTCGCCAAGACTAGCATCACCCTGGTAGGTACCAAGAGTAGCCTCTGAGTTAGCTTTGCACCTGCAAAGGAATGCTGCCTGAGCCTTCTCCACATTCTCGGTCTTGCCAGCCCAGGCCTTAAGGGTACTCTGCTGAAGGGCACGTCCAAAGGAAAAGGAAAGAGACCATGGCTTCTTGGTTTTTAGTTTGTTCATGGCATTGAGGTTGCGTGTAGCCTCCTCCTCACTCTGTCCACCAGACAAGAATACGATAGCAGGAACTGCAGCAGGCACAGTGCGTTGAAGGGCACGGACAGTGCACTTGGCAATCACCTCGTTGGCAACCTTTGGTGCATCCGATCCAGGAGTCACCATGTTGGGTTTCAAAAGAGTACCCTCAAGCATGACATGGTGGTCATTGAGAGCTTTGTAGCATGCAGCGAGAACCCGCTCAGTTACAGCTGCACACTTCTCAATACTATGAGACCCGTCAACCAAGATTTCAGGCTCCACAATGGGAACCAAGCCATTCTCCTGGCAGATGGCAGCGTATCTGGCTAAACCATAGGCATTCTCATGGATGGCCAACTCAGATGGCTCAGTGAGACCAATCTTTAGCACAGCGCGCCATTTGGCAAAACGCGCACCAGCTTCATAGTACTTTGCACAGCGTTGGCCAAGGCCGTCAAGACCCTGTGTTGTGGTCTCACCATTAGTGCCAGGAAGCTCAACAGTACCCTTGTCAACCTTGATACCAGGTAGAACACCACCTTTCTTCAAGACATCAACAAAGGGCTTGCCTGCACGAAATAATAACATTCAAAAAAACAAAAAGCAATATATATATATATATATATCAAACGAGCACAGAAAAAAATCAAATTGTTTTAGAATAAATCAATTACTAACCATTTCTTTTAGCAAGAACAGTCAACAGCAAAGAAAAACACAACAAAAATTGCGAGAACCAAGTTGATGATCATGATACCTGACGCGGTCTTTTGGTAGAGTGTTTCCTCAAAGAGAATGACTCCACTGAGGTGTTGGAGGGCACCAGGAGTGCAGAAAAGGAGCTCACGAAGGGCACGCCTGTTTTCCTCAACATTCTCAACATTAATACTGGATAGACGCTTGCCAATTGTGCCAGTTGACTCATCAGCAGCTAGGATACCCTTTCCAGGGGTGCCTATGTAGGCAGCATTCTTAACAAGCTCATCTGCAAAACAAATTAAAAATATATATCATTTCCAATTCATACATATGATGCCCACGAACTGAAACCAATTGTAAGTCACCATGTACAAGAAGAAGACGCACGCAAGATTTGGCAGGAATATTTTCAAGAGTGTAAAAGTGAATAGTTCTTAATCAATTTAAGCATAAGCATACAAACAAGAACAGGAACTGGAAATCGGATCTAAATTAACATTAGAGGCCAGTGATAGAAACACAGATTTTAATTCTTTCATGTTTAACTAAGTTTGAACATCAAATATTAAGATTTAAAAAAAAAACTATTAAACATGAAATCAGATCTGATCAATAGTCGAGGAAAACGATAAGGAGAGCATAAGACGGAGACGGATAGAACTAACCGCAGTACCGAGTTGAAAGAAAGACGGCTAATTTAATTTGATCGAGAAAAGAGAATTAAATTAAGAGATCTCATAAGAAACAGAACAAAACAGTCACAGTTAATACAAACTAAAAAACACTTGATTGGTTTTGTTAAAGAGCAAGACAAAGCGAGGACAAGGAAAAGAGGATCACCAGCGTATTTGTTCTTGAAGCAAGACATTTTATGATCAGAGATGTAGAGTTGGAGTGGGATTTTAATGAAAAAGATGAATAGATGCGAGCAGAGTAGGAAAGAGGTTGTCGTCAGGGTTTATATATGAAATGAGGAGGTGGGGCAAACGACACAGTCGCTAACAGATGGCTTTTTCCTCACGAACTGCCGTCTGATTTCACGCGCTCATCTTTTCTCCTTCTCTTTACTCTTTTGTCCTCCCCTTAAATAGTGCAATGTATTCTTTTGAGAGGAGGCACATTCCTCCGCGTTCCTCTTGAAGAAGAAAGAATTGAAAAGAACATATCCATCCCTCAACTACAGCTCGATTCTTGTTTAGGTCCCTAATTTAGTCATACATCTATTGATCATTCCTTAATTAACCATTCTCGTGGGTATTTTGCCCTTGAAATCATAAGAAAGAGTGCTTAGTTGAGGATTTGTTTTATTTTGATACAGAGTTGGGGTCACGTGAGAGATGGGGGACAGGCATGTCCTTCGCCCATTTTACCGTCCTGGTCGTGACCAAATGGGGTTTTAAGTATTTATTTATTTATTTGCAGGTGGGCCCGAGGGGAGAAGCTTTGACTTTCAAGCATTGGAATTAACGGAGAGGTGGAATAGGAAAATAAAAATACAAGTACTTTTGTAAGAGAGTTTTGAAAAACCAGGTGCCCTGGAAAACGTGGATAAGCAGAAGAAAGTAAAAGGGGGCAGTCGACTTGGTTGAAAAGACAAGGCCACAAAGATGATAAGTGTACGGAGAAAATCGAGCTCGTTTTTTTTTTTCTGTCGGTAATTATTTTTAAAAATATCTTTAATTTATAGATATATTAAAATAATTTTTATTTTATTTTTTAAAATTTATTTTAAATATTAGCATACTGAAATAATTTAAAAATATATATATATATATATAAAATAAATAATTTTTTACAAACCTCCTTTCCGGATCAAGGATGACAAGTAGGAGGATTGAATGCCACGACTTAAAAACCGAGAGCGCCGCCATCACTACCTCCGGATTAGGTTTGCGGTTTTTAGAGAGAGAGAGAGAGAGAGTTTCCACCAACCTTTCCATAACCACAGTCTTTAACGTGATTTCCGTGAATTAGATAATAATAATTCATTCTTTTCTTTTTTTTAGTAGGATGGATTAAAAAAGAAAAAGATTAATGTTATTTAGCAGTATAAGGAAAATAAACCATCTCATATATATCACATATTCTTTAATTTCTTATAAGAAAAAAGATATAGTTTTTATTTTAAAATAAATTAAAACTTCAACATGGAGAGACAGTATATTGTATATAAAAATCAAAAACTTATAAGTTTAAAGATGATATAAAGTGCATCAAGGGTTTTGGTTTAGTGGTGAAAGGGGCTTATTTTTTTTTACTGTATCTAAGTTTGAGTCCTCATGTGCATGTCTGTTATCCTCGTAGTATCTTATATGTCTACTAAATTTATAGGGTGTTCAATGGGTCATGGTGCTCGCAAGCGAGTCTGAACACTCATGTAAATAAAAAAATATATAAAGTTAAATTTATATATATATATATATATATATATAGCATACTATTTTTGTATTAGTATTATTGTAATTATCTCCTCATATGCTATTATCTTTGTTTGACATTTTAAAAAAAAATTTGGTTAAAAATGTAATTCGTTAATGATGCATAAATTATAATGGATTTATTCGTAAAAAACAAAACTTGATTTAGTAACTTCCAAGTTTTGATTTAGTAACTTCCAAGTTTTAGACTACTAAAAAGTAATGAGATAACCCATCCTTATCTTGTATTTATAAATTCCCCTCTCATCTCTCTTTCTCGAGAACTAAAGGACATATGCCAAAAAAAAAAAAAAACACTTTAAGATAGCATTAATTACACCCATTATCGCAAGAGGAGGAGAATTTTTAGGGAATATGATCCCAAGTTCAAGATAACACATTTAGCATGGGTTAAAATTATAGTAAATGATATTTTTTTAAAATAATTTTTTATTTAAAAGTATATCAAAATAATTATTTTGATTTTTTTTTACCATTTCAATTTTTTTTATATGTGTCCTTTTTTTTATCAAGTCATTTAACTTTTTTTTTCTCATTTGCATCTTTTTTTTTATTAGATCCTTTTACTTTTCATTTAAAAATAATAGTTTGGTTTTGCAAAATTAATCACCACAAAACAATATTTAGAGTTATAAACATGGGAGACAATGCGAGATGGAAGAAAATTATGATGGAAATGCAACATAGAAAACAAACAAAATCTATTATGGGTTGTAATATGTTCTCTTTTTATTTTATTTTTTGTCTCTTAATTTTTTTTATTTTCAATTTAATCCTTTCATATTAAGTTGAATTAAGATTATATTTGGTGTTTTATTTTTGGATGACTTTATATAAGGCTTTTAAGATGTTAAAAATAGTTTTTCAACATTGAATTAAAG